AGAGAGGCTGAACTCATGATCCTACAATCCAAGCTGTTTTAGCTCTTCCTGGGTCCTGAAACTGTTTTGGCTTTTGCATGGAGCTACTTCACACTTACATTCCTTTACAGAGGGTAGCATTCACCTTCCCTATTCTACTGTCCTTTTGGGGGCCCAGTGGCCTAAGATAATGGTGTCCTGGCCCCTCAGTCGCATTGCAGGAGGCTAGAATCCCCTTCATCTCTGTTCTTTTAATTTCTTGAGGGTTTACTAGTATATTTTTTCCTTTTGTTTCTGTTTTTCCAAGTGAAGGGGATGTTTTATCTGCTACAGCTTTGTAACTGTCTACTGTTGAGCTGTGGCAGTCCTTAGTTATGCTATGAGTCTTGGCTCATTTTCACATTGTTCTTTTTTTGTTTTTTTGAGACAGAGCCTCAAGCTGTCCCCCTGGGTAGAGTGCTGTGGCATCACAGCTCACAGCAACCTCCAACTCCTGGGCTCAAGCAAGTCTCCTGCCTCCACCTCCCAAGTAGCTGGGACCACAGGCGCCCACCACAACGCCCGGCTATTTTTTTTTGGTTGCAGCCGTCATAGTTGTTTGGCGGGCCCGGGCTGGATTCGAACCTGCCACCTTAGGTGTATGTGGCTGGTGCCTTAGCTGCTTGAGCCACAGGCGCTGAGCCCACATTGTTCTTCATGGAGCTTCTGTTTTTACTCTGGGCCAAGTCAATAATTAACCTTGGACTCCATTTGGTATTCGTTAAAAGAAATGAGCTCCAACCGCTCCCCCCCCATATGCCCCCCAATATTACAGCAATCTGGAACTATAGATATTCAGTTGAAATCAGCAGGGCTTAAAGATGTCTTCCACTGAGTAGATAACTCTTAGAGGCAGCCTAAAGGCAGTAGACAGTTTAGGACTCAGATATTAAACCCAAGGAATCTGCAACATGGAGAGAAAGAACCAAGACAAAACTTAGTCCTTTACTTCCTCCCGCCCCCAGGTAGCAAAATGGATGGGAAACATGCTTACATGCCTGAGATTCTGCTGCCATCTGTTGGTGGTTCCTCTTCAATACAGCCAGAGTTAAAAGGGGTGAATAGAAACACAGGCACCCAGTCAAGATCCCCCCTCCCTTTTTTGAAATAGAGTCTCACTCTGTTGCCCCAGGCTAGAGTGCCATGGCCTCAGCCTTGCTCACCGCAAACTCAAAACTCTGGGTTCAAGCACTCCTGCTTTAGCCTTCAGAGTGGCTGAGAATACAGGTGCCAGCCACAATGCCTGGATAATTTTTCTGTTTTTAGTAGAGACAGATGGGATCTTGCTCTTGCTCAGGTTGGTCTTGAATGAACTGAGCTCAAGTGATTCTCCTGCCTCAGCTTCCCAGAGTGCTAGGATTACAGGCATGAGCCAGTGCCCTTGGCTAATGTTTCATTTAAAAAAACAAAAACAAAAACAAATAAAACTTTTGCTATTGAAGACCACAGACAGGAAAGAAATACAGTACCTGAAGGCTGTACTCCAGTTAAAAAAGCAACTTAGAAAGTAGAATATTTGAGGAGTAGTGGAGATAGGAGAGATATGTGAAAGGCAAACTAAGTCTAAATTTAAGAACAGGGACATTAAAAACTTTATTCAATAAATACAACAAATAATTTAAAAATATACTTCAATTCCAAAGCCAATTAAGAGGAAGCAAAGAGAGGGGGAAAAAAGGAGAAGGAGAAAAGGAAAGAGACTGAACAATGGTTTGGTTGGGCTGTTTCAGAATGTACCACCCTTTGAAATTCTGATCAAATGCTTTTGACCCATAAACCCTTAGCCCTTGTTCCGAAGGGGAAGCCACAGGAGTCCACCAGCCAGGAATGATCCTCTGGGCTTTGGACCAGAGCACTCTGGAGGCTGGAATGTGGGGTACTATTGGGGGAAGTTTCCCATTTACTCCTCAAAACCATCCATCCTAACTCCCAGGCATGTTTAAATAGTGCAATCTCTTAGGCAGAGAGCTCTTAGCTGCATAGTTTCACAGATGAGTGTACAAAGCACCCAGGGGTCCAAAGCCACTTTGGTGAACAGGGTGAAGAGAGGAGAGGCCAGGGCATAGGATAAAGCTCCTGGGCTAAGCCGGTGGCCAAGCCAAAAAACAGTGCTGGGCAGAAAAGGGCTACAGGGCAGGTAATCTGGACATGGGATTCAACAGCTTGCTGCCAGCTAAGGAGTTTGTGAAGCTCAGGATGCATATGGAGCAGGACCAGGAAGATCAGGAAAGCTGAGGGAGAACAGAAAAGTCAGAAAGGAGGAGGAGGCAGCTCAGCAGCAAACTCCAGGAGAAATAACCAGCAGCCCTCACAGATTTGTGATTGTCTCTTAAAAAGATTTATTTTCTCTTCTTGCCTCCATGTACAAAGGCAAAAAGAGTACAGTTTGTATATATATATATTTATATATATATATAAAAAAACAAGGAACTTGGTAATGTACACTTTACAGAAGGGGAGAATCAGGAAGACTGAAATTAAACCCAACAGAGCAATGCCAAAGGAACAAAAGTTATGAACAGCAACACTGCCCCTCCAGCCCGGGCCTCCAGCTCGCCCCAACCTGCTCCCAATGGGGGGGGCTGAGCACCAAGGCAAGCGGGTGGGCTGGGGCAGGAGGGGCTGGGGACAGGGCCTGGGAGGTGCTTGATCCCAGGAGGGGCCCATGGTAGGGAATCATTGGAAAGCTTCCTGGGATCCCCTAGTAATAAAATGAACAAAGGCCCAGAATTAATGGGGCCAACTAGCTGCCCAGCTAAATCTTGGGGGCATCAGAGTAGACAATAGGATGTGGATATAGGGTATGTGGTATAATAAGTGACATGAGTGGCCTCAAAGCCTGTATACAATATTCTCTAGCCCTTCTGCAGTCTTAACTCCCAACTCCCTAAGGTAAGTCCTCTTTATAGCCCCTTGGAGCCTGGAAAGAAGAAATTCAAGAAACCATTTCATTTCATAGGCCCTCTTATCCTTCTGCGTCTGGTTCTTTGAACTTGAGATGTATGGAGAGTAGGGTAAGAGAAGGAAATTTCATACATGTACATATACATGTACAAGGCAGGAAAAGGGGACAAAGGGAACTGGTACACCTTAAAACAAGGAAGAAGGAGATGAGAATCCTAAAGAGCAGCTCTCTATGCCTTGGTTGTCCCACATGGGGAGGAGGCTTTTTCTCCCTTAGCTTCGCCTCTAAGGGAGCCCAGTGAGTGATGTCTAGTAAGGCCTGAGTAGGGGACTCACAGATGGGCTTGGTCTGGTTGTCTGGGCCTTCAGCAGCAAATTTCCAGCCTTTGCTTGTAGGATGGAGATCCTTGCTGAGTGTGTCTCATCCCTCTGACTAGGTCATGGTTCCCACAGGTAGCACCCACCTATGTTTCTCTTCCCCATGTAGAGGGGCTAGAAGTGGAGAGCAAATCATTCACTCAGCACTGTCAAGGATCTCCATAGGTGCTGCTTCACGTTATTTCAGGGAAAGAAGATTGGACTCAGCAAGGAGCAGGGACCAGGAGAAGGCAGTGCCAATCTGCCATTGTTGTGTTTATCTGCTCTTCTGGGCAGGTCCTACTTTTCAAGGAAGGCATGGATATAAGAATCAAAGAGCCAAATGTTTTTTGAGGAAAAAAAAAGGAAAAGAAAAAGTTGTATCCTTCTGTAGAAACCAAGGCTGCCCAGCTAATATGTAAGTTTCTCCTTCTGTATTACAGAACAAAGTGGAAAGGGCAGGAATGCAGAGCCATGCCTGCCCAATGAGAAAGAAAATTACTCCAACGGTTTCTTTACAATATGTACAGAGTATGCTGTAGGCCGGCGCCACAGATACAAAACACACAACAATATTTTAAAACAAACAGGAACAGAGATGGGCCCTTGGCTCTACCCCACAGGAGCCTGGGAGGGGATAATCAGGCTGAAATTTAGTCATCCTCTTGGCAGGGTGACTCAGATTAGGTAGGGTGAAGTTGTCTATACCAGCTATCTCCATGGATGAAAGGGAAGTCATTGCTCAGAGCACTGCCCAAGGGGCAGCAGGAGGCAGAGGAGTTGGTGAGTGTGAGGGAAGCTGCTTGGGAGCCTGCCAAGGAGGTCTAAAATGGGGTTTTTAGGCAGGGTGCAGAACTCAACTTAAACAAAAACAAGGGTATGGAAACTTAAGGGAAAGGTCTGTAGGTTGGAGGGGCTCCCGGTGGGCACATGACCCTGAGCCTAACTATGTGAAGGGCTGCAGGGTTCTTGGAACCTCTGGGCATTGTGCTTACTATCCGCCACTACCTTTTCTCCAAATTGAGTCAGAGCCAAATTCCTGTTCTTAAATTGTCACTTTTGACACTCTGGTCACAAACCCTCCTCACAAGGCTAGGTTGGTATCTGTCAGTGTTTCTCTCTCTAAATCCAGAGGGTCAAGGAAAGACAGGCGGAGAGAAGAACAAAGAGATTGATACCTCAAAAGCAAAGTAAGAGCTAAAGCTCCCCACACCTTGGGAAAGAAATTACACCAGTAAAGCTACCAAATCACTTTCCCAGTGCAAACAGCATAAAGCCTCGACTGGGGGGACTGCCTTTCTAAGGACAGCAGAGAAATGTCTGCTGCCTCCTAAGCACAGCTCCCTTGAGTACATTCTGTGCTCTCACAAGTAATGGCTTGGATGTGTTAACCAGGGGTCTGAGGAACAAATAACTTCCCATGTCCAGCGGCCTCTAAAATAAAAACGTGTGTTAAAAAGAAACACAGCTTAGGACGGCGCCTGTGGCTCAAAGGAGTAGGGCGCCGGCCCCATATGCTAGAAGTGGTGGGTTTAAACCCAGCCCCGGCCAAAAACTGCAAAAAAAAAAAAAGAAAAGAAAAGAAACATAGCTTATATTGGCACACATGGAGGTTAAAGACTGAGCTATATAAAATCATGTACTTATAGACAGAGGAACTGGGCTGTATATATTTGTGGCCCTAAATGAGGAAAATGCTTAGATGGCTGAATGAACAGGGTATCTCCAAGAACTGCTGGGTGCTCCTGGGGTCTGCCTTCTGGGCCTTGCCCTAAGGTGACCTGGCAGACTCCCCATGCTTGGGGAATACTGTTTTATCTGCCTGAGCTTTAAGAGCCAAGCAGTGAAAAAGAGGTGAGACCAGTGTGGGGATCCCCCTGGGAAAGGTACCAAGGGGGTCAGGAGGGAAGAGAAAAGGGCAAGGGGTTGGGGGACAAGAAGCAGCAGGACTTAGTGGGGATGTAGATTCTACTTCACAGACTCCATTCATGCACCAGCTCCAGCTGATTCCCAGTAACCCTGGGGAGCCCTGTGCTGGTGTTGGAACCCCTGCCCCTGGCCTGACAGGCAGCATAAGGCCATGGTGGGGCAAATGCCTTGGTCTTCCCTTCCAGGCTAGGCTCTGAGCGTTTGAATGTGCTCATGTAAGAGGGGAACAGTCTCCGCGTTTGAAGACCTTGTTTTCACAATTACATAGAAAACAACCCCCAATTTCTTTCCTGAGATTCTAATTCCTCCTCATGCCGTCAATTCCCAGGGTATAAACCACTGGGGAGATGCAGAATCTGGTGATGATGGTAATGATGGTGAGAGGGGTATGGCTGCTGTGCTGTTTTCAGACCTTACCCAGTGTGAGGGGGGTGGGTTGATACTGCTCCGACAACAGACCAGGGGTTTGGGGAACAGAGCAGTGACTTCTCTGGGCTAAGCCATGTTCCCCTGGTTTCGCCCCATGCCTTCATTTCCACAGAGGCCACAAAAGTCATGACTGTGGCCAAGAGAATAAATATTTTTGCTAAGTACCAGCTCTCCATCTCCTGAGGAAGAAGGAGGGTCAGGGAGTCCAGAGGTCTGGTGGAGGTGAGATGGCCAAGGGTCTGCCTTCGGTTGTGGTGGAAAAACGGCAAACAGGATGATCAACACCATTTAACTGATGTCTAAATGGCACCTCCAGCACCTCCTTGGGTGAGCCAGTCCGGGCCCGTGAAGCTGACTTATCCGGGCACTTGGGTGTTCTGTAAGGGAAACATGGAGAGATAACCAGGCACTCAGCCCAAGGGCCAAATAACCACAAGGTGGCGCTCCAAGAACATGAACTGCAGGGGAGGCCTACTGGTCACTAAGGGGACATCTGTGTTCCACAGATTCTCCCAGATGCACATGGCTTCACAGGAGGCTCTTGTACAAGAGGCTTGGCCATGGTTCCACTGTTTCCAGACCACTAACCCCACATAACTATTCTCACCCAGGCTCCACAGGGATTCTATGATCCAGGTAGCAACTATCCCTGCTCTATGTGTGTGTTGCCCAAATTAACAAAACTTCCTTACCATTCTCACCTCCTGGGGGGTGGGTAGAGCGAAGGAGTTGTGCCCTGTTGGCTGGCAACAATGGCTGTAGAAGAAAGCCCTGAGTGAGCAGGAGAACGTGTTAGTGAGGTACTCATGGAAACCTCCCATGAAGCACTGGGAGGAGTTACCCCTTACATTCCTAGCTTTGCTGAGTTCTAAGCTGCTGACAGAAAACAAAGCCTAAATTTGGCCAGATTTACTGGCTGGAAATGGATAATAAGGCTCTATTTTTCAGCTGCTGTTTCTTGTTGGCTGTGGAGAACACCTGTTCCTTATTCTTCTGAATATCAAAGCCAATATTCTGGAGCAGTTTGAGAGTCCCTAAGCTCCAAGGGAAGAAATAAATGTCATATGTTTTAATGACTACAGGAGTTAGGACTTTGAACAGATTACAAACTCAATAACAACAACAAAAAAGGATTCTCATGAGGTGGAGAAGAAGGGTCCTTACTGTGGGCATTACCACTGGGATGAAGACAAAAAACAGGACAGCAGGAGAAACTGACTTACCTGTTGCATAGGGTAAGTTGTACTGTGCTGGGAGCAATGAGTATCCCAAGTGGTGGTGGTGGTGGTGTGTAGACATCAGGCGCTGGGAAGGGGAGGTGCGGGGCCGGTCAACACTCCGTTCACCCCCGCCTGCTCCCCCAACGCTACTACAGCTGCCACCACCCCCAACCACCCCACAGCTTCCCCGATCTCTCTCCTGAGAAGTTTTATCACTTATCTGGAAAGGAAAGCAGACACAGAAAGGGATTAAAGTGAGACGCACATACACACACATGCACACGTGTGCACACACCCAAAAGTGAGATGCCCAAGGCCCCACATCATGAGTCCCTAAAACTGCAGGCCACCTAAGAATCAAGGAGATGCCCTGGTGAGGCCAATGTCCAATCAGCCAAGCTGTACTGTGGAGTTGATCTCGTTCACCTTCTCCCAGACCCTAGATCTGGCCATATCAGTTGTTGGTTAACATCACTGTACTTCCCTTACCGTGGGAGACTTGCTCTTGTAGTGACTGGCATGCTGCTGCAAGATGTCCAAGGCTTTGGACTCTGAGCTGGATTTACAAGTGACACTAGGGCTGACTCGTGCCTTGTCAGCCTCTTCACCACCTGAGACCTTGCTGCCATATGGGGAGAAAGAGTAGCTGGAAGGCAAGTAGGAACCTGGAGAAGGAGAAATCAAGCAGTCAAAAAGATGGGAGAAGTAGAAAAAACTCTGCTGTAGTGAGCTTGGTTAGGTGGGCATCAGCTTTCCTGTTTGCTACCTCAGAATGTCTGGGGCTGTGACTGTTGGTTTGTTCTTCCTTAGCTGAGCTCCACAGGATAAATTAGCTAAGGGTTATCAGGAACACAGCCCTGTTTCCTGTGGTCAATTTCCCAGACCCATTGTGGGTTTGTGAACTAGTAGAGATTCATCTTGGAAAGGTGATATGATAAAGTGGATAATGGGATTTCGAGTCAGACAGCCTTAGGCTTAAACCCCACCTCTGAGACTTAATAGCTGGCCTTGAAATTAACAACCTTTTTGAGCTTCAGTTTCTTCATCGTCAAAATAAAGATACCAATGCTTATTTCATAGGGTGATGGGGTGGATTAAAAAAGGTAATGTGTGTAAGTCTCGTAGGATAGGGCCTGGCCAAACACTGAACAAATGGAACTGTGATTTTTATATCTAGGGGTGAGGATGACAATGAGAAAGGAACACCTCAAGGGCAAGATAATCCTTTTTTTCTTTTTTGAGACAGAGTCTCAAGCTGTTGCCCTGGGTAGAGTGGCATGGCATCACAGCTCACAGCAACCTCAAACTCTTGGGCTAAATTGATTCTTTTGCCTCAGCCTTACAAGTAGCTGGGACCACAGGTGCCTGCCACAATGCCCAGCTATTTTTGTTGTTGTTGTTGCAGTTGTTATTGTTGTTTTAGCTGACCCACCAGCCTCGGTATATGTGGCTGGTGCCCTACCCACTGAGCGCCGGGAGCCGCCAAGGGCAAGATAATCTTCAACCTCTGTTGGAAAAGCTCACTTGGTCTATTTAGAGACTAGTTTTTTCCATATAATAATGTCACCACAATCTCCAGACTATTTAGGCTGCTGTAGGAAGTTGGGAGCTCTATGAGATAAAGAATTGCTCCTCCACTCCATAAGCATCCCACATGGCTCTTTTGACAACAGAAATCAGTGAGTAGAGTTAGATAAGAGCATTTTATTCTAACAAGTTAAAAAATATTTAAACTCCTACTTTGTGCCTCCCCTTCACAAAGAACTCATCAACAGCTTTAAATAGCTTAAAGCCCAGGCTGAACCTAGCTGGACTTGCCCCCCAATCTGAGTTCAAACTGCTCTTCCCATCTGACAGCGGAACATGATCTTACAATTGAATATATGCACTGTTCTGGTTTGAATTTTATTTCTTCCATGTGTATCTCTATAATTAAGTTGTAAGGGCTCGGCGCCTGTGGCTCAAGCGGCTAAGGCGCCAGCCACATACACCTAAGGTGGCGGGTTCGAATCCCCAGCCCGGGCCCGCCAAACAACAATGATGGCTGCAACCAAAAAATAGCCGGGCGTTGTGGCGGGCACCTGTGGTCCCAGCTACTTGGGAGGCTGAGGCAGGAGACTCGCTTGAGCCCAGGAGTTGGAGGTTGCTGTGAGCGTGATGCCATGGCACTCTACCCAGGGGGATAGCTTGAGGCTCCCTCTCAAAAAAAAAAAAAAAAAAAAAAAGTTGTAACTTCTTTTTTTTTTTTTTTGGAGACAAAGTCTCACTCTGTTGTCCAGACTAGAGTGCTGTGACATCATCATAATTCACAGCAACCTCAAACTCCTGGGCTCAAGTTAACCTCTTGCCTTAGCCTCCTGAGTAGCTGGGACTACAGGTGCCTGCCACAATGCCTGGCTAATTTTTTTTCTGTTTTTACTACAGATGGGGTCTTGCTCTTGCTCAGGCTGGTCTTAAACTCCTGAGCTCAAGTGATACTCCTACCTTGGCTTCCCAGAATGCTAGAATTATAGGTGTGAGCCACTGCCAGGCCCTAGTTCCTTGAGTGGAGGGAACTAGTTTTATCTACTTTTTTTTTTTCAGTTTTTGCCCGGGGCTGGGTTTGAACCCGCCACCTCTGGTATATGGGGCCAGCACCCTAACCCTTTGAGCCACAGGTACCACCCTACTTTTTTTTTTTTTATTATTTTTTTGAGACAGAGTCTCACTCTGTGGCCCTGGAGTTGGGTGCCATGGTGCCATCATAGCTCATAGGCACTCTCCTGGGTTCAAGCAGTTGTCCTGCCTCAGCCTCCTACATCGCTAGGACTATAGCCACCTGCTACAATGCCTGGCTAATTTTTTCTATTTTTAGGAGAAATGGGGCCTTGTTCTTGCTCAAGCCAGTCTCAAAGTCCTGAGCTTAAGTAATCTATCTGCCCTGGCCTTCCAGAGTGTTAGAATTATAGGTGTGAACCAGCACCACCGGCCTCATTATTATTATTTTTTTAAAAGAATCTTTATTTTTTGCAGTTATTTTTTGGTCAGGGCTGGGTTTGAACCTGTCACCTCTGGCATATGGGGTTGGCGCCCTACTCCTCGAGCCACAGGCACTGCCTTGCAGCCTCATTATTTTTCAAAATTTACTTATTTATTTTTGAGACAGAGTTTTGCTGTTTCTCTCTCCCAGGTTGGAGTGGCATAATCATAATTCACTGTAGTTCTGACTCCGAGGTTTAAGTGATCCTCCCACCCTGAGACTCCCAGAGTGCTAGGATCACAGGTGTGAATCACCATGTCTGGCCAATCTTTTATATAGTTTTTGTAGAGCTGAGGTCTCACTATGTTGCCTAGGCTGGTGTCAAACTCTGGGCCCCAAGTGATCTTCCCACCTCAGCCTCCTGAGTAGCTGGGATTATAGGTGTGAGCCACCATACCTAGCTCTTTACTTTTTTTGTATTTCCTACAGTGCCTAGCACATTATAAAGTATAGTGTTTATGTTTTTAAAATCCCAGCTGATGAAGACCAGGCATGGTGGCTCACACCTATAATCCCAGCACTCTATGAGGCTGAGGTGGGTGGATTGCCTGGTTCAGGAGTTTGAGAATAGTCTGAGTTAGAGCGAGACTCCCATCTCTAAAAACAGCCCGGTATTGTGGCAGGCACCTGTAACCCCAGCTACTCGGGACACTAAGGCAAGAGAATCACTTGAGCCCAAGAGTTGAAGGTTGTTGTGAGCTATGACACCATCGCACTCTACTGAGGGTGACAAAGTGAGACTCTGTCTTAAAAAAAAAAAAAGAAAAAAATTCCAACTGATGAAAGATGGCAATGGTAGAGAGGGAGTTTTACCCTTAGTTAGCAATGAAAACTACAGCAATAACCTTCTTGCTGGAACAAGGGAGGGACAGTAGATCCACCAGAATGTAATTAAGGATCATTTAAGGAACTATGGGTTAGAGTGGCCACTTCACAGACTAACCTTTTCAAGAAAGGGCTGTTAGGGTGGTGCCTGTGGTTCAGTGGCTAGGGTGCGGGCCCTGTATACTGAGGGTGGCAGGTTTGGACCCAGCCCCAGCCACACTGTGAACCAAAAAAAATAGCTAAGCATTGTGGCGGGTGCTTGTAGTCCCAGCTACTCGGGAGGCTGAGGCAAGAGAATTGTTTAAGCCCAGGAGTTAGAGGTTGCTGTGAGCTATGATGCCACCGTACTCTATCAAGGGTGATAAGGTAAGACTGTTTCAAAAAAAAAGAAAAGGCTGTCATCTAAGCAAGCCCCATTAAGCCTTATGGCTGAGCATTCTGGATTTGAAAGCTGTGTTTCATCTCTCTTCCCAGTGAATGGAATAGCAGCTGGCACTAGGGTGCTGTACCTGGGTAGTTTTGCATCATCACAGCAGGCATGCCACGGTAGCTGGGGTGGTTGGGGTCATAGGACTGGCTGTAGGAGTAGCCGTGCATATAGGGGATGTAGGACTGGTGTTGAGTGAGGGGGGAGGACACAGGCACATGTACACTTGGTCGGGGCTCCTTGCTCCCAAGGCGGGACTCCTCAGACGTAGGCAGCTTGCAGTCACCACTTGTGCTTTCCTTCCCATCTTCCTTAGGGATAGAGTCCTTACTCCTGCTCCTTTCCTCCTTCAATTTGCGGTCCCGTTCCTCTTTCCATCGCTCATCCTCTGATTTGATGTCTGAGTACTTGGCAGGATAAACGTATGTCCACATCCGGGGCTCTGCCTCCTACAACAATCACAGAACAAGCACTGAGTGTTGTACAGATAAGACAGAGATAATATTCAGGCCCAAGGTCTCAGTAGAACCATCAGAGCAGATAGTTACTAGACACTCTGGGTGGGGCAGTACCTGTGGCTCAGTGAGTAGGGTGCCTGCCCCATATACAGAGGGTAGTGGGTTTGAACCTGGCCCTGGCTAAACTGCAATAAAAAATAGCCGGGCGTTGTGGCAGGAGCCTGTAGTCCCAGCTACTTGAGAGGCTGAGGCAAGAGAATCGCCTAAGCCCAAGAGCTAGAGGTTGCTGTGAGCTGTGATGTCACAGCACTCTACTGAGGGTGACAAAGTGAAACTCTGTCTCTATAAAAGAAAAAAAAAAACTACAGACACTCTAGGTAGAGCAGGATCTTGGCCTCTATTGATGATGATTATAGCCTTTGGCTTAAAAAGTACCCTCCCACCTCCTGCATCCCTCAGGGAACAAAATGTGATGAAAGAAAAGGAAAAGTCATCAGTCCATCAGTGGATGTTCTCTAGGTGACAGTGAGCATTGTGGAAAAATTCCTGTCAGAACAGAAGAGGCTGACCCCTTCCTATGTGGTTAGGTTGTTTCACTTCTTCAGAGCAAGCTTAGAGGGTGGAACGCTGTAAATGCCACCCAGGTCAGAGGAGGGAGGTATAACTCTGGCGCCAAAGAGAAGGAAAAATACTCTAAATCTCATGAGTGGAACAAAATGTGAGTATCCAGGTTTTGGTTCTAACTCTACCTATAAAAATTGAAGGAATCCAGCAATTGGGTGGGGTACTTTTAACCTACTCTGAGAAATGAAGAGATTATCATTAACTCATTCCATAGGAACCAAACAGTAGAGGAAACACTGGACTAAGATCAGGACACCTGGGTTTAGGTCCCAGCTCTACTAGTGAAATCTCAAGTAATCTTAGACAAATTAAGCTAACTTACCTGAGTCTTGTCACATGGGAAAAATACCTCTTATGTAAAAATTGCTTTTTAAGAAACATTAAAATGGTCTATGAAGATAAAGAATCTCCAAAATTATATTAATATAGCTCTCCTGCAAATCTCAATTCTTTTGAAAACTCTACATAAGGACAGCCCTGATTTGTGAGGAAGACAGAAAGTTTAACAAACAGTATATCCACTTCCTCCCAGGGCAGCAGTTACCTGTCGATACCAGAGTATTGGATCCACCTCTGCCTGTCGGCCACACTCAGTGCCTGTTTTAGCCTCAGAGGCCTCCTTGCTTAGGTGGCTGGCCTCACTCAGCTTCACTTTAAGTCCTTCAGGGGCCTGGCTGGGGAGTTTTGAAGAGTCATCTAACTTGGGAATGATGACTGACTTGGCAGTGTCAGCCCCTGACTCCTTGGCCTTGCCAGGTCCTGACTTCACTAGGTCTGTTAGGCTGGGGGCTTTGGTAAGAGTTGGTGGAATTGACGGCTTTTGCTTCCATTCTTCCTTGAGTGCTGCCTCCCGCTCCTTCAGGCCCATCTCTGCCTTCTTGTCCAGTCCCCGTGGCTGCTGCTCTAAACTCTGCCGTTTCTGCTGTTCTTCATACTGCTGCCGATATGCTGTGTTGGTGCTCAGGAGGTGGGTGTGGTAACTCTGGTCACTGTAGCTATAGGGGGGCACATAGGCGTACTGGTTGTAGTACAGAGACTGCATGTACATGTTGGGACGCTGCTGGATGACAGAAGGCTGTTGACTGGAACTGCTCAGTTCAGGTTTTTTCTCCTCACAGGCATCGTTCTTCACTTTCCCCTCTATGCTCTCAGGCTCCTCATCCTTTTTTGTCTTCAGGACCTGGCTCTCCACTCCTGTCTGGCTGCTGGGGTTTAGAGCCCCTGGGCTGGACTGCGCATAATTTGGAGAGTAGTAACTCTCAAAGCCTTGGTAATATGGTGAGTCTTTGCTCTGTGGCTGAGGGGGGAAAAGAGTTTTCTTAGCCCCTTCCTTAATCAACTGTTCAGGGTCCTTTGATTTGACACTGTCCACCTTGCCCTCCCCATCCTCCCCAGCATCAGAGATGTCAGAGTATGCAGGGCTGTTGGTTTTGACTGAGCTAGCTTCAGCTCCATTCTGGGTCACTACATGTAAGGGAGTCAAGGGCTGAGTAGGGGTGGCGCTATCTAGGCGGCTACTGCCTCCAATGGAAGGGCTGGGGGCATTGTCCGTGAAGCTGTAGATTTTGTCAGCTTCAGCCTTGATGCTAGCCAGTCGGCTTTGGTGGGTGTCTGATGAGCCATTTAGAAGCCCCTCCATTTTCATCCCATCTCCTGATGATTCCCTGAATGGGCTTTTGCCTTCTTCTGCTCGACATACCTTCCCAGGGGTCAGAGGACTTTCAAGTTCCTTGGAAGAGTCCTTCTTTTTTTTGTCTTTCTTTTTCTTCTCCTTGGCTGGTGTCAAGGCGGGGTTGACCGTGAAAGGTTCTCCCATAACGGTGGGCTTGGGCTGAATGGGCTTGAGCTGGGGACTGTTGGGCATGGCTTGGACCACTGTGGTGGTCAAGCCTGAGGAGGAGCCTGGGCTTGCTGCAGTAAAAGTGGCTGTCTGGAAGGTGTAGATTTGCTGTGGGGGGATGGCAGGGGCAATGGGCCGGGCTGACTTCAAGCTCTTAGAAGGAATCTTCTCAGATTTCAAACTAGAGGGTTTTTTACATTTTTCTTTTTCTATACATTTCCTTTCCAAAGAATCAAAGGCATCATTGCTTGTTTCATCCATTACTGAGGGTCCATCATCAGAGCCATCATTGGATAAGGCCCCAAGATCTGTGTCCCCTTCTCCACTCAACTTTTTCTTACAGAGGCCTTTTGAGCTGAATTTGCTTGAAGGAGAAGGGCTATGGGGCTCTACAAGGCGAACTTTGGGGGTAGCTGAGCGGGCAGGGGACAAGGAACCTTTCTGTGTAACAGATGCACCATTGCAGCTCCCAAGGTCTGCATGGAGAGCAGGTTCCTCTCCGTACTCACTGTCTCCATCTGCTTCTGGCTTGCTGTCATCATCTGTATGAGCATGAGCTTGGTGATACTTAAGTCCATTGATGTGCTTGTACTTTTTGTTGCAGTTTGGGTGGGGACAGTCAATCAGGACAGGGGAGGGACAATTTCTGTCCAGAACAGTGGGTTCTACCTTGGTCCCTGGAAGGGGACCAGTGGCTGAACCCATAGAATTCGTACGGACACGTTTGCTCCCTTTGGAGTCCTCAGAGCTAGAATTCAGCTCCATGTCTGAAAGGGGTTTGTTTTTCCGCTTGTTAGCTGAGGAAGGGCTGGCCTTGACATCCTCAGAGGTGCTGCTGGCAGGTGGGCGATGCTCTGAAGAATTTTGGCTGCCCCGACGGCCTTTGCTGTTGGCCCCTGCCCGGGTTTTGCTGCTGCTGTTGGTTCCTTTGGTGTCGGAGGCTGTGGTTGTCTCATTGACAGGTGTGTTACTGTTGGGACGCATGCGTTTGCCTCTACCCCGACCATTACGCATTTCCAAGTCACTGGTGGGGGAGTCACAGAACCTTGGTAAAGGACAAACACAATAGATTATTATTAAGAAGAGAAAACATCTTCAAACTAGTTTAGCTGTAGCCTCTAGAAGAACTTTCCAGATGGTGACCATCATTTTCCATGAATATAATTTGTTAAAAGAACTTCTGATTGTGCGGGTTAAGTGGTAAGCTCTTAGGATGCTATCTCCACGACAGCTATAAATTACTCCCCAACATTTACCTCTAAAGCCATGCAGAGTTTGTTCCATAAGACAAAGAACAATCATGCCCCCATTTCTTATATGTAGACATAGCCATAGTTTCAGAAGAGACTTTCAGAAGAGACTAGGAAATTGAGGCCAGGCATGCTAAGTGACTTGCTTTAGGTTGCATTGTTGATTAATGGCAACAAATGACCAGAATCTAGATCTACTTTTAGCTCAATATTTTTGTCCCCTATGTATCTCACATAAACACAAAGTACTCATCCATTTAAGAGGGTTTTTTTTTTTTTTTTGAGACAGAGCCTCAAGCTGTCCCCCTGGGTAGAGTGCCGTGGCATTACAGCTCACAGCAACCTCCAACTCCTGGGCTCAAGCGAGTCTCCTGCCTCCGCCTCCCAAGTAGCTGGGACCACAGGCGCCCGCCACAACGCCTGGCTATTTTTTGGTTGCAGCCGTCATTGTTGTTTGGCGGGTCCGGGCTGGGGATTCGAACCCGCCACCTTAGGTGTACGTGGCTGGCGCCTTAGCCGGTTGAGCTATAGGCGCCAAGCCAAGAGGGTTTTTTTTTTTGTTGAGACAGAGTTTCACTATGTTGCCCTTGGTAGTGTCATGGTGTCACAGCTCACAGCAACCTCAAACTCTTGGACTTAAGCAATTCTCTTGCCTTAGCCTCCTAAGTAGCTGGGACTACAGGCGCCCGCCACAATGCCTGGCTATTTATTGTCATTGTTGTTTGGTAGGCCCAGGCTGGGTTCGAACCCGCCAGCCCCAGTGTATGTGGCCAACACCCTAAACACTGAGCTATGGGCCCCAAGCCCATGTAAGAGGTCTTTAAACATCAGATACAGTCAAGAGTACATGAGTTCTTTGAATGTTTGAAGATTTGTACCTATGAGTCATTTCTCACTGGCTGTAATTCAGCTTTTCGCAGAGTTCAAAAAACTGTTTAGGATTAAACTCTTAGCTAAGGTTGGTTCCCTTGTCAATCTAAAGGTGGTTTTGACTCCCTTCCAGGGGATAGCTGGAGTAGGTTGTTTTAAGACATAGAAACAATTATAGCTGTAGCAGAACAAAAAAAGCAAATTTTCTGAAATACTTCCTTCTGGTCCCCAGAACAACCCTACTACAAAGTCCCTTTACTATCTCCCTGTTAACACCTACCTGCTCAGCTCCTGTCTCTCTGATTTTTGCATGTCCAAAGTAGAAGTAAGTTCTTCTAAAAGTTTCTCAGAAATGCCAAGGGGAGATGTAAAGAACTTTACAAACTGCTTTTAGCTCACCTGATTTTGATTTTTTTTTATGAGGAAAACTTCTGTGATAGTCTGAATATAGTCTTAGAATAGGCTAAGCCTCTAGGAACCTAGTCCACCATCTCTGAAAACTACATATCCTTAGGTAGAGCATAGTAACACTTCAGAAAAAGAAAGTGGTATAGAATAAAGAACTTTAGAATACTTCTCCTTGGGTTATCCCTGCCCATTTTTGTCTTATAGGAACAATGGGCAGATGAAGGTTTAAGATAATTTTTCTTTCTTTTTTTTTTTTTTTGAGACAGAGCCTCAAGCTATTGGCCTGGGTAGAGTGCCGTGTAACCTCCAACTCCTGGGCTCAAGCAATTCTCCTGCCTCCACCTCCCAAGTAGCTGGGACTAAAGGCACCCTCCATAACGCCCAGCTCATTTTTGGTTGCAGCTGTCATTGTTGATGGTGGGCCCAGGCTGGATTCGAACCCGCCAGCTCAGGTATATGTGGCTGGTGCCTTAGCTGCTTGAGCCACAGGCATCAAGCTTAAGATAATTTTTCTAAAAGAACTATCCAGATGATAATTATTAATGCCATTATAAATGAATATGATTTATTAAAGGAACTTGTAAACGTGTGGGAACTGGATTAAGTGGTGAACTCCTAGGATGATGCTATTTGCATGCTAGTTGTAAATTACTTCCAACGTTTGGGTTTCCCAAGCCCTGGAGCAAGGAGCAAGCTGTAAGATACCATTGACAGAAATGTTCATCTTAAAGTCAAACTCCAACCTGAAAAGGTCCTTGCAACCCCATATGGTCTAGCAGAGTTTACGTAGCTGAAAACATTCTTGACTTTAAATTATTGAGAAATGCTACCATCAAAATATCAATCAATGAATGTTTGTTCACCCACAGACTTTATAGCCTTGGTCTCCAGGTTACTATAGGAAGAAGCCAGAATTTAGTAAGTTCAGACAAAGACTAAAATAGGATTCCTCCTCATTCCTCAAACTCACCCACCACCAACACACTTCAACACACAATTCATTTAGTCTCCTTGAATTTCAGATGAATACAGCGCTTTCCCTTGTCCTTTAAAAGCAGGGTGTACAACTCTAGCAGGATAAAGGCATAAAAGTTCCCTGATTAGAGTGTCAACCTAATATAAACCAAACAAATATAAGTGCTTACCTTGGAGGTGCCCAATCATGCCGTGTGCAGTCAAGAAGTGTACCTACATATGTCTTGTTCCTCCACGTTACATTTACCACTAACATCCCTAGAAAATAAGAATACACAGATATAGACAAGACAAACCCTGCTGACCACCAAGAAGAGTATTCTTCATTTGAGCAGCATTCTGACTGGTTTGGGGTGCTCTGGGGACTAATGAATGTATAGAACTGGGCCTGATAATTGCATGGGAACTCCTCTGAGCTCAAGAGGTCCTCCCGCCTCAGCCTCCCAGAGTGCTAGGATTCCAGCACACCTGGCTGACACTTTTTGTGCATTTTTATTCTTAAATGACTTCACAATGAAAATTCCTGACATGTTTTTCATATTTTTTTTTGGTCACCCTTGGTAGACTGCCATGGCATCATAGCTCATAGCAACCTCGAACACTTGGGCTCAAGAGATTCTCTTGCCTTAGCCTCCCGAGTAACTGGGACTACAGGTGCCCATCACAATGCCTGGCTATTTTTAGAAACAGGGTCTTGCTCTTGCTCAGGCTGGTCTTGAACCCATGAGCTCAGGCAAGCTGCCTGCCACAGCCTCCCAAAGTGCTGGGATTACAGGCATAGACCACTGTACCCAGCATAAAAATGCTTTTGAATGGGTAATATAGTCATACCCCCAAATTCAAAATGCTTATGTATATAAGCATGCTACATGTATATAAGCAAAAAAAGGGCGGTGCTTTTGGCTCAGTGAGTAGGGCACCGGGCCCAAAGACGGAGGGTGGCAGGATCGAACCTGGCCCTGGCCAAACTGCAACAATAACAACAACAACAACAAAGTAGCAAAAAAAAAAAATACCAAACAAACCCTAATATAAAATGAAGAGCCGCCCCCCTCACCTTCCAGTTCCTGTGGTATTTTATATGTATATAAGCAAATATTCTTCCTTAAACAGTAGCAACATACATACAATGTTCTGCACCTTGCTTTTCTCAGGTACTCAAATTTTTTGCATCATTCCATATGTGAAGAGAGAAAGCCATATCATCAATGGCTGCATTTAAATGGACATTTGGGTTGCTCCATTCTTCTGCTATTACAAATAAACTGTAAAAATAACCTGGTACAAATGTTTTATGTTGACTATATGAATATGTCTATAAGATAAATTCCTGTAAACAAAATTGCTTAAGAACAGAGCATTTGTAGATAGAGTTTTCTTTTTTTTTTTTT